TCCCTCCCTTCCACTCTCTCTGAAAGCAATGGAAAAAATATCCTCAGGTCAGGATTAACAAGAACAAAGTAGCATTTGCAGAGGGAGTTAGAAGCCTAAGCCAGGCTGCTGAGGGCTGGTGCCCTGGAAGACAGGCACTCCTCACACTCCTCACAAACACACAGAGCCTGGGTCTGCATGAGCAGCACCAGCCCAAGCTCAGGGTCAGAGAGCTGTGACTGCACTCTGGTCCACTCCATGGTCCAGAGTGAGTCCTTCTGAGCCTCTGACTCTTCCTCTGAAAAGGGGGTAACACCACCTGCCTTGTGTTTTTTGGTGAGAAAAACAGATGAAAAATGTAAAATACTGAGTAGCACAGGAGACAGCAGCCACTGCCGTCCATTCATATTCCTACACTTCTACTTCTCTCACACACACCCTATTCACACTGTACCACATCACTCAACATTTCCAGAGACACCGGGCACATCCTTCCTTTGCTGTTGCTCCTCCCGCCACCTAAAATACTCTCAACAGCCTCAACTTCACTGGCGGAAATGCTATGACCAATTATAGCTTCAGGTCCCTCACTCCCTCATCTCACACTAGTGAAAGCCCCTCACCACAGGAGGAGTAGGATGGGGAGAGATCCTCTGGAGCTCTTGTCACAGGATTATTCACTTATTTTCCAGGTATTTGCTTATGTCTGTCTTTCCCACTACACTGTCCATTTTGGGAGGCAGGATCCCAGGTCTATTGTATTCACATTTATAATCCATTTTTTAAAATCTTTATTGTTGAAAGTGTTACAATGTCCCCTTTTTTCTGCCACTGATTGCCTCCACCCTGAATCCACCCTACCCCCAGGCCTTCCCCATACCAATGTCTGTGTCCATAGGTTATGCATATAAGCATATAAGTTCTTTGATTAATCTCTCCCCACCCATTCCCCATCCCCACCTGCCCTCTGAAATTCCTCCTACTGCTCCATGCTTCTATGTCTCTGGATCTATTTTGTTCCTCAGTTTATTCTGTTCATTAGATTCCACATATAAGTGAGATCATGTGGTATTTGTCTTTCTCTGACTGGCTTACTTTGCTTAGCATAATATTCTCCAGTTCCATCCATGTTGTCTCATAGGGTATGAGACCCTTCTTTTTTATACCTGCATGGTATTCCATGGTGTAAATGTGCCACAGCTTTTTATCCACTCATCTACTGATGGGCACTTGGGCTGTTTCCAGATCTTAGCTATTATAAATTGCGCTGCTATGAACATAGGGGTGCATAAGTTCTTTCTGATTGGTGTTTTGGGCTTCTTAGGATATTCCTAGAAGTGGGATCACTGGGTCACCCAAGGATATGTTTTTATTGGAGAGAGAGGGGGAGAGAGGGACATTAATGTGAGAGAGAAACATCAATCGGTTGCCTCCCATACATGCCCGGACTGGGGATCAAACCCACAACCTTTTTGGTGTATGGGATGACACTCCAACCAACTGAGCCACCCAGCCAGGGCCACATTTATCTTAAAAGGCACTGATTAGGCACTTAACATTAGTTGAATATACAATATAATGAACAAATAAATGGACTAATGAGAGAACACATGACTAAAAGATAAAAACAAAACTAGTTTTGCAGGAAACTTAACCTGATAAGTGCTGACAAAATGAAAGAGAAGAAATGACAGGCAAAGAGCAAAAACATTTGTAGGGTGTAAACTGGATCCTAATGGTGGGAATAAAAAATTAGAAGCAAAATCAAGAGGCAGCTGACGGAAGTAAGGAAGGGATCATGTATCTGAGTGAATGTTCGTCTCACTGGATTTCAACATGGACTTACTAGACCAAGGATGTTAGAAGGAAAAGAGTAGGCAATGAGGGCAGGGAGCTCATGAATTCACCTCTAGGTGAGAGGAATTTGTGGGGCAGATAGAAATGTTTTATAAATATTTAGTG